GCATTTTGTCTGGCACTTGGTACGGGTTGGATTAATAAATCCAGTCCTTGTTAAAAAAGTAGGAGAGATATCTTTAGATTCAATTGAAAATAATCTTGAGCTGTATATAGGAGTAAGATAATTAAATCACTGCTTTTGAGATGCCAAGTGGCTGTTCATGCTCTCACTTGTCCTTCAACAAACATCCTCAGAACTTATATGTGTAAAAGACTTGCCAAGCAGCAAATCAGACCCTAGAAAAGAGAGTTGAGTTGACTTAATCAAAATAACTATCATTAAAAGTGATCAAATTATATTGCACATTCAGTGTTCTTTGAACATGCCAGAATTCCTGTGTTTGAATTATGGCAATAGTATTTTTAGATTAATTTTCAGTTTAAACTTGGTTTTCAAAATGTACTCTCTATGGATAAAACATGTCAGAGCACATTAGAGCAACTATTCAGATGTGACCTTTACACCAGACTTCTTGCCTTCTCAATCACATTTTGGATAGTAAAAATATGTACACTACTTTCTTATTCATTTACTTTATTCATTTTGACATCCAGATTTGTAAAGAAGGCATATATTTGCAAGTAGCTTTAATAAAATTATTGGTTTGCTCAGAAGATGTGTGAATATTGGTGTTTACCTCCAGTGTTCCAAATCCTAATGAAAATGCTCTACACACTTGTCATATTTTGTATTTATTAATGCAGTAAATGGGCTCCAAAGCAATTCTACAAAAGTGTGAGGGAGGTGACACATTAGTAACTTGGCATGTCTTTTTGACACAGCTTTAATTGTTTGAAAAGTTAAATATTCAGTCAATCACCCCAAAAGTAAGCTCTGTACTATTTTTTTGCACTAAACTGATTTCATTTTAACTCAGATTCAATTGATTGTAAAGCTTTAGAGAATAAAACAGATCATTCTATAAACTTAAAGAACAAATTATAATTAGTTATTAAATTTCACTCAATTCATTAAATAGTTGTTGAGAAAATCCTTCGGTAGAATTTCAACAAGTCATATGGCAGAGAGGGAGAAATATAAGTAAAGACAGGGAAACACTGTGAATATTTGAGGGCAGCATGTGGTCTGTGTTGGATGCTAATGGGCAAGAGGTAGAAGGTGGGTTGGGCTATATTATACAGAGCCTTTAACTGATAAGAGTTTGTCTTCATTTTTTAAGCAATTTAAAACCATGAAAAAATTCTTATACAAAGGAGTGACACCCTTAGAGACATTAAGACAATTAATCTGCAAACAGTGCTGAAGCCAGACCACTGGTGTTGGGCTAAAGAAGATCTCAAAGAGGTAATTATAACACAATTCAATACATTTTATTCAATTTCTATTGGATTTGTGCCGAATTGTATTTCTGGTGAACCAGAGTAATATGCGTCTCCTAAAAACACAAGTATTTCAGATTTGTGTTAAAATCAAATCTACTTAGCTTCTATTATATTCGCATATAATATCTCATTAAATCCCTAGAAGAGGTTTTGCTGATGAGGAAACTGAGAATTAGAAAAGATAACTTTTTCAAGATCAGACAGATAATAAGCTCTGAATGCTTAGAGCAGAAGAGAGAGTGAAATTAAATCAGCGGTTTCAGGGAAAATAATCCAAGGAAAATACACTGCATAGGTCAGAGGTAAGACCACAAATAAACAGGCCACTGCAATCATTTGTTTGTTAATGACAGACATGAATTAACATGTGTTTGCTGGTCTTCGAGTGTTGAGCTAAACCTTCTAGTCTCTAGGTAGTAAAGAAATATAACAATAATTTCCATACATTTCAACCACTTTATTTTCTAGGTATTTATTGCTATTGTTCTGTGTTTATTTGCCTGTTTAATTTGTGGCAAATGGAGAAAGATGCCTATAAAGAATCTAAGTTACTGACTAGCCTATAGCTTATTTCAAGTTCCCTTTAGTCAGGAGTAAAATTGTTTTGTTCTCTCTGCCCTTTTACAACATGCAGGAATACACATATACTATTTCTCTGTAACATATAAATGCTGTCTGTTAGAGTCATACCTTTAAAATGGTTTCCATAAATTTGAAAAACGAATCCAAGTGAAATATTAGGAAGTTAGATATTCCAGCCATGCTGAGAAGTTTTGTGTTATACCACTGAAAGTCAGTATTTATCAATTAAAGTTTAAGGTTTAAAAACAGAAGAATGGATTCTGATTTAAAGACCCTTCTAACTCAAACAGGTAAAACTTAAACTCTTTGCCATTTATTGCGTAAGTGAATTTTTTTCACCAGGTCTACTACATGTTTTGATCAACTAAACCTACACATTTTTCTTACCTTGGGTTAAATCACTGTTCTGCTTTGCTTTCAACAAGCTTGCTTATTTATAAATCAGAACTAATCCAGGGAAACTGATGACATAAATAAATGTCAGTGGGAAGGAGCTAATTGGGTATGCCACAAGTGTAGGACTAGTACTCTGAAAGTTATAGCACTTTGGAATATGAAAGATGGAGTCAATGTAAAATTTATACTTTAGTCCCCTTATCCGCCACGCCCCCCCAATCACATTTCTTGTGCAAGGGTGCCTATTGGCCAAAGGAGAGTTTAGTGAATCAGGCCTTAAATTACTGCACCTAGTAATTGTTGACATATGTGTACTTTACAGTGCTAATTTATCTCACCATGAACCCAGTGTTTACGAACACACAAAAGCAGATTTATAGTATGTGAGATTAAGAACATTTAAATTCTTTATTTTTAGATTTTTTACGTTAGATATATTTAAACATGCAAAATACATTCGAAAATGACCAAATCTATCCACATGAATTACAGTGAACTGTAAAGTTCTTGAGGAATTGAGAAAGAAAATAATTTCACTTAAAGGACATTATACCATGTGTTTGAAATACTAAGATGATTTGAAGATCTTAGATCTAAGGTCATGTTAACAGATAAGATCTTGAGGGATCACAGGATTAAGTTATGTTTTAAATAAGGAGGCCATCTCACATTTACTGAGCCCTCATGCTTCTCCTGGCGTGGTGCTAAGCCTTTCACATAGATTATCTCATTTAGTCATCATAACAACCATGTGAACTGGGCATTGTTAATATTCCAACAGAATAGATGAAGCACTCCAAGTCAGAAAAGCTAACTGACTTGCGCAATGTCATATAGTTGACAGTGGGTAATCCAGGAATGAGCCCCACGTAGTCGGTATTGAGAGGCCAGCCGTAGCCGCCACCCTCCATTGTAAGAATCAGGTCTGCTCCTTCCAGTGAGTGTACAACGGCTTTTCCTCAGTTGGTATTTCTTAGAAAACAGTAACTTATTTCCACATCTGTAAAAACACTTTGAGACAGGATAAAATGGAAGTTAACTAGATTAAATTATAAAACAGATGAAACTTATATGAGCAAAGATCACTGAAAAAAAAATGTATGAACTTGTCACAAGGCCTATTCTTCCCGTTTTATGCTTTTCCTCCTTTGGGCTTCCAAAGTGGTGCAGTGGTAAAGAATCTGCCTGCCAAGGTAGGAGGTGCAGGAGACCAGGGTTCAATCCCTGGGTCAGGTAGACCCCCTGGAGGAGGAAAGGGCAACCCGCTCTTGTATTCTTACTTGGAAAATCCCATGGACAGAGTTGACTCAGTTCAGTTTGGTCACTCAGTCGTGTCCAACTCTTTGTGACCCCATGGACGGCAGCACACCAGGTTTTCCTGTCCATCCCCAACTCCAAGAGCTTGCTCAAACTCATGTCCATCGAGTCAGTGATGCCATCCAACTATCTCCTCCTCTGTCATCCCCTTCTCTTCTTGCCTTCAATATTTTCCAGCATCAGGGTCTTTTCCAGTGAGTCAGTTCTACACATCAGGTGGCCAAAGTATTGGAACTTCAGCTTCAGCATCAGTCCTTCCAATGATTATTCAGGATTTCCTTTAGGATTGACTTGTTAGATCCCCTCGCAGTCCAAGGGACTCTTGAAAGTCCTGTCCAACACCATAAATCAAATGCATCAGTTCTTCAGCACTCAGCTTTCTTTATGGTCCAACTCTCACATCCATACATGACTACTCGAAAAACCGTAGCTTTGACTAGATGGACCTTTGTCAGCAAAGTAATGTTTCTGCTTTTTAATATGCTGTCTAGGTTTTCTTCCAAGGAGCAAGCATCTTTTAATTTCATGGCTGCAGTCACGATCTGCAGTGATTTTGGAGCCCAAGAAAATAAACTCTATCACTGTTTCCATTGCTTCCCCAGCTATTTGCCATGAAGTGATGGGACCGGATGCCATGAGCTTCGCTTTTTGAATGCTGCGTTTTAAGACAACTTTTCCACTCTTCTCTATCACTTTCATTGAGACGCTCCTTGATTCCTCTTCTCTTTCTTCCATAAGGGTGCTGTCATCTCCTTATCTGAGGTTAATAATGTTTCTCCCTGCAATCTTGATTCTGGCTTGTGCTTCATCCAGCCCAGCATTTCACATGATGTACTCTGCATATAAGTTAAGTAAGCAAGGTGACGATATACAGCTTTGACATATTCCTTTCCCAATTTGGAACCAGTCCATTGTTCCATGTCCNAGGAAGGCTTTCTTATCTCTCCTTGTTACTCTTTGTAACTCTGCATTCAGACGTATATATCTTTCCTTTTCTCCTTTGCCTTTCACTTCTCTTCTTTTCTTAGCTATTTGTAAGGCCTCCTCAGACAACCATTTTGCCTTTTTGCCTTTCTTCTTCCTGGAGATCGTTTTGATCAACGTCTCCTGTACAATGTTACAAAACTTCATCATAATTCCTCAGGCACTCTGTCTATCAGATCTAATCCCTTGGGTCTATTTGTACCTTCCACTGTATACTCGTACGGGATTTGATTTAGGTCATGCCTGAATGTTCTAGTGGAGACTGGTGGGCTGTAATCCATGGCGTTGCCAAGAGTTGGACACCACTGAGTGACTGAGCAGACACTCACACAGAACTATATTAAATTATAGCGTAGATGCAACTCACATGAGTAAAGATCACTGAAAACATTTATTAACTTATTGCAAGGCCTGTTCTCTTGGTTTTATCCTTTTCTTCCTTATCTTTCTCCACCTTTGATTTTCCTATCCCTGGAAAGGAAATAGTGAGAATTTAATGAATGCTTATTGTATATGCTAATCTGTATATTGTATATATTGGTGTGGAATACCTAGAGAATCATACAGTTTATTAATGATGTATGATCTTTACTTCAAGAGCATGTATAGTCTACATAAAAAGCAAGACATAAAACAACAAAAGACAAAGATTAAATGATAAATGTGTTGTGGACATAATAAATGTTCAAAAGTTGAGTTTTATTCCTTTTTAAAAAGTGTTTTTACCTAACTGTCAAAGGGTATAAAATAATTAAATAGATAGAAGAGAAAAGTGTAGGAGAAAAGAAACTTTTGGAAATTAAAAGAACAACAGAAATAATGATATGGAATTACTTATAATCCCTGGTGAGACATTAAGGAGTTTCACATGACTAGAGTAAAATGTCTGTTGTGAGGAAATTTTGAGAACTAATTCAAATAGTAGGATTAGATTGAAGAGGGTTTGGAACAATTTTTTTGTTTAATTTCATCTAAATGTAGGCGTCCCTCTTGCACTGATGGTGGTAATGTAAATTGACACAGCCACTATGGAAGGCAGTATGGAGATTCCTTAAAAAACTAAGAATAAAACCACCATATGACCCCACAATCCCACTCCTGGACACATACCCTGAGGAAACCAAAATTGAAAAAGACACATGTACCCCAGTGTTCATTGCAGCACTATTTACAATAGCTAGAATATGGAAGCAACCTAGATATCCATTGACAGATGAATGGATAAAGAAGTTGTGGTACATATACACAATGGAATATTACTCATCCATAAAAAGGAATATGTTTGATTCAGTTCTAATGGGGTAGATGAACCTAGAGCCTATTATACAAAGTGAAGTAAGTCAGAAAGAGAAAGATAAATTATATCATATACTAATGTCTATATGTGGAATCCAGAAAGATGGTACTGAAGAATTTATTTACAGGGCAGCAGTGGAGAAACAGACATAGAGAACAGATTTATGGACATGGAGAGAGAGGAGAAGGGGGTGAGATGTATGGAGAGAGTAACATGGAAACTTATATTACCGTATGTAAAATAGATGGCCAACAGAAATTTGCTGTATGTCTCAGGAAACTCAAACAGGGGCTCTGTATCAACCTAGAGGAGTGGGATGGGGAGGGAGATGGGAGGGAGGCTCAAGACGGAGCCATATGTATACCTATGGCTGATTCATGTTGGGGTTTGACAGAAAACAACAAGCTCAAAGTAATTATGCTTCAATTGATAAATCAATATATTAAAAAAGAAAAAAAGAAAACATAGATGTGATTGCAGAACAGACTAACCTCTTGTATTACAACTTTCCTGATTTCAGGGTCAGTCTTTTTTATTTCCATTGAGGTTTAGCAGGTATTATGTGAAGATAAGGTGGCACAGTGGTAAAGAATCTGCCTTCCAATAAAGGAGATGCAAGAGACTTGGGTTTGATCCCTGGCTGGAGGAGTGAATGGCAACGCTATCCAATAGTCTTGCCTGGGAAATCCCATGGACAGAGGAGCCTGGCAGGCTACTGTCCATGGGGTCGCAGAGAGTCAAATATGACTGAATGCACACACACAGATACATGTGGGGGTAAATCAGGGTTTCTCAGTCTGAGCGCCACCAGTATTTGAGGCTGGGTGACTCCTGCTAGTGACTGTCTTCTGCATTGCAGGATGTTTAGCACTTCCCTGGCCTCTCTCTACTCAATGCCAGTAGGCTCTCTCTCCCTAGCGGCGACAAGCAAAAATGTCTCCAGACATCACGGTCATCAAATGTCCCCGGAAGGATCAACATCACCCACATGCAGAGCCACTGGGATCAGTCTTACCTCTTTGGACTCAAATGCTGATACATTTGTATTTCTGTCAGGGATTTGTGAGGTACATAAATGGCATTGTTTATATTGGCTATGTGGAATCATTTCGGAATATTCTTACTTGGATTTCAAAATACAGATAAAAATTGATGCTGTGCAGTTTGGTATCATAATTCCTGAATTTAAGAAAAAAACTAGCTGTATATAGTTTCTGCTGTTGTTGGAAATTCATCATTAATCACAAACAAGTCAGCTAATTCAGCTGCCCCCACTCTTTCCTGGTCATTTAAAACAAACTTAATTTTATTCAACATTAATTTTCCCTTATTCTGCTTCTTCATAGCAAGCTTCTGGTTGAGTTCTCTTTATATGTTCTCTCTCCTCAACCTGACTGCAAACCACTTGAAAGCATTTTTGCCTCAACACACATTTCCTAAAAGTATGCTCCAAAAAGGGTCAATACATGCCATTTGATTAAAATAAAATCANGTCTGCTGATGGGCATCTAGGTTGCTTCCATGTCCTGGCTATTATAAACAGTGCTGCGATGAACATTGGGGTGCATGTGTCTCTTTCAGATCTGATGAAACCATTTTTAAATGTATGAAAAAGTATTATTTTATATAGTGGTACTTTTAGTAATAAATAGAAGATGACAATCCATTTATTGAGAATTATTAGTAATTATGAAATTTTCTTTCTGAATATCTAATTATTTCTACTTGTATTTCAAACTCTTTTTCAAATAACTATAGAAATTTTAAGTGCGACGTGAGATTTTGCTTCTTTGATTTTGGAAATTTTATTTGTATTCTCTTAGATATTCAAGCTAAAACATGTCATTCAGAAACCTGGAGAGTCTATACAAGCAATATGGAAAATTACAGCTTCTAAAAGTTTTTGAATAAAAGTAGAATCATTGTAGTTAAGTGAATGCATCAGAATTAAGCGATATATATGGTGTTGAGAATTAATTTTATACATCTAATAAGATGGACTTTGATCTCTATTTATGGGAATAAATAGAACACATAAACTTCATCTTTTTCATCTGTCAGCTGGTGCTGCCATCTGCCTACCCAGGTACGTGGAAAATGTGGGTGAAGGCCCAGGAGCGTCCTCTCAGAAACCCACCTGCCCCTTTGGCCATCTGCTCTAGAAATTGCAGCCAGTATTCAGCTGGTCTGCAGCAGTCCCCAGCTCTGAACCATCAGAGCTACCTCTGGGGCACTATCTGGACAAGTGCTGATGTTAGCACTCTTACAGAATGCTCCCTCCTTCTGTCCTACATTTCTACTTAGATTTCTTTTTTTCCCTCTTCTCTCATCTATGAGACCTTCTCATCATGGGGTGCCAAATGGCCGGAATTACATCTAAGACAAAAGTTTTTTCTCTTATTTCTGTTCCTTTCTTTAATTAAAAAAATAGAGTCCATTTCTGGTCTAATGGTATAAAAGCAGTGGGAGGTTTTCTTACCCTTTCTTGGATTCTTTTTGTAGATGAGAAAATGGAATATCTCTCAGATGGGTAGAAAATCCTAACAAAAGTATCTTTCATATGGAAATTATTTGTTTCATCTTTTACTGGGAAAATAGTATCTAGGGCTGAGGAAGGGAGTTCCATCATCAGAGCACTTTATAACTGAGCATTTAGAGGACTTGGGTTTCTTTTCATCCTCTTCCGGGAGGTCAAACTGCAAAAGCCGTTTAATCCAGTTATTTGACTTTTTCTCTCTCATCAATACTGGAAGCAAATTGTTGGCATAAATGACTTTTCTTACAGACACACTACTGACCTTTTGCCAAGAAAAAAAGTTCATCGTGTAGACCCTTTAATGCATTTTGCTATAATTCACCAAGTTCTGGGAGAAACTGTCCCTACATTTGCACACTTTTGGAACTCTGAAACCTGTTCTGTTTATCATTGCTATTGGTACTATTGTCATACCGACTTACTGCTACGCAGTCATTATACTTTTACACTTCTGGAATGATCGACTTTCAGGCAAGCAGTGCAGAAAGCACTCCTACTGCCTTAAATATAAAAGAACTACAACATCTTCAGCTGCCAGCAATTTTAAGCTTGCCATTTCACTGAATCTGAGGGGAAGTGCTTTAAGCAAATTAAATGACTCATTATTATTCCCTGAGTCATGACTGTATTTATCAGCAACTTATAAGGCAGAGGAAGACGTGGTTCTTCCCCTAAATTCCCACTTATTCACGCACTTATAACACAGTTCTCTAAATATATCATTGTACCAAAGCAGCTGTTTATGCCAAGTTACCTGAAACAGGAAGGAAGAAAAAATCCACTCAAGCATGTGGGATTCCCTCATCTCTGTTT